ATTTTTTTAAAACATTTATGGCATTTTGGAAATGCCTCCACAACTCAGTTCAGTGTTAAATGAGGAATCATGCAATGTTGTTTGCAAGGCACTCAGAGTGCCCCAAGGATAATAGTCGCAAAGTGTTAAGTCTGGTAAACGTGCAGGCCAGTTAACATGAACATTATCCCCTCTACCGATTCATCGACGAGAGAATCTTTGGTTCAGATACTGCCGGATATTTACAGTGAAATGTGATGGAGCACCTTCATGCATAAACCACATGGTAGTTTTGAGTAATAACGGCACATCTTCCAATAACTCGAGCTTTGCAAAAATTCTAAATAAAATTCCCCATTCAGTCTATTGTCTCATAAAAATAGAAAAAAATTAAAATTTTAAATTGTTGTATTATATTGCATTATATCTATTATTGAAAATGGTTGTGATTAATATTTTTTAATTAATTTTGATTATGTTGCAAAAATTTTTTTGTATAAAATTAGTAATAAATATAATAAAAACAACTTTATATATTAAAATTTCAAGAAGTTAAAATTGTAATTTTATCGACCGCATTATTTTTATTAATATTTTTTAATTTTGAGAATTTTGCAATAAATTCAAATGCTTTTTATTCATTTTTAAATCTTAACAATAAATAATAATTTGAAAATAATTTGTGAATTTTTACTTTAATTTTATATTTAAATCGTAATTAAATAGCTAACAAAATATTGAAAAAACAAGTTTACTTTGCCTTAATATGTAAAAGAAATAACTTTTTAAATGAACGATAGCTTCATTTATTTATTTAATAATAGTAAAATAATTCCGAAATTGAAATTTTAATTAATATTTCGTTTAACAATAATTTTTGTGACATTTTTGTAAATTAAAAAAAATTAATTATAAAAGATGCATTTTTTCTGGGGTTCAGGGCTATTCTACGAATTCGTAAATATGCCCATTGTTATTTTTTCGTCGAGCTACCCCAGTTTAAAAAAAAAAAAAGTTTCTACGATGAATAGAAGCCGAGATATTGCAAAATTTACAGCGCGCACTTCCCCCACCACCACGCCGCCGGCCGCCGGACAGTTTACTTAGCGAGTACCTTCTCTTTAAAGGGCTCGTGAGTCGTTAATTTTCCACATTTTTCAATGCAATTCACGGGAAATCGTAGTTTACGTCGTAAACTTTATTTTGCGAAAAATTCAAGTCTTAATATTTATAAACAATTGCGCTACGATTTTTTAAAAAAAGATTCTTATCTTGGCTCCTGTTGGTCGTAGAGGGCACTTTTTTTATTTTAAAACTGTATTTTTTTTCCAGCTATCCATTGCATCTATTTTCGGTGAGATAGCATAAATAGCAACAATGTTATTCAAATTGTTTATAAGCGAAAAACGCACGGTTTTTTAATGCACAATTTGAGAATGTTAATGTCAAAAAAACGGTGATATTTTTTAATAGGTCGCTTAATTGCGTCTTTAAGATTACAATGACGCTTTCAGAATCATGTTTGATTGAAAATTAACGTCTGTACAGAGGCTTAAAGTTCATAACTTTTGGAGCCTCCGCTATAAACAAATAGAATTGTGCGAAAACTATTGCACCTACAGCGCCCACTTTTGGCACACTTTTAAAGTATGACAAAACCCTCAACTTGTCATAGGTTTTATAAAATTTTAACAATAAATGCGATAGTTATAAACAAATGAAAAAATGGGCACTTTTCTTGTTTTTTTGCAATAACTTTTTTGTTTATTAACCGATTTTAATTTAACCAGTCTCATTTTGTAGATAATTTTACTCCCTACAAGCTGTCTGTGAGTCACTTTTCGCTAAAATTGATGGTTTTCCCTGCAAAGTGAAAAAACTGCTTTCCTCACTTACCTATTTGTTTAAATAGAAAAGTTAGCTAATAAAAGTTTTTGACTCACAAGACGAGAGATGTCTTGTATTATGTTCCTTTAGACAATTTTACAATAATCTCGCGGATAGGACTTTTTTCGAGTTTTTCTTTTATTTTCGCTAATTTTCCTGGTGTAAATATTTGGTTACAGTTTAATGAGGTACCTACAGACCTTAATTATTGAGATAAATCATGAAAGTTTTGATGAAAAGCTAAAAGAGCGCGAATTATTTGAAACTTCATACTACAAAGCTGCGACTCAATGAAAACGATTGCTATCTAATTGTCAAAAAGAGGAAGTGATTAATCATAATGATAGAACCTAGTGATGTAAATTCTGTAAGTATGCAAACCGCACCAAATTCCCGGTTCCAAAATTTAAAGGTCACTACAAACATTGGCTAGAATTTCGTGATACGTATGTATCTCTTATTCATAATAAATCTATTGCTGAAATTGCGAAATTTCATTTTCTACGAGGGATATGCAAAAGAGGAATTCACACACTGGAATTTTCTGCAGCGAACTATAAAACGTCATAGAATTTATTGTGTGAACATTATAATAACACAAGTTAATTAATAATAATCATATAATGTTATTATTTTCATTGCCCACATTAACTCGGAAATCTGTAATGGAGTTACGGAAATTATCAGATGCTATGGTTAAACATTTAAGATCTTCAAATACCTTAGGTCAAAATACTGAAGATGTTATGTTATGATTATTTTTCTAGTGACCAATAAATTTACTTACGTAAATGGGAAGAAACTAAAGCTAGGAATAAGCTCCTGACTTTAGAAGAATTTAAAGTTTTTCTTAAAAATAGAGCTGAATTGTTAGTCATTGGAATGTAATAAACAAAATAAAACTAAAGTCATGCTAAAGCACAGGTCTTTGTAGCGACAAATCAGTTATGTAGGTGCACGTGCTTTACATATTTTACACTCTATAGAGTTACACTCTTTACTAATAGGATTACTTTTAAACAATTCAAACAAAGTTTGAGACGTCTTGCTTGCTCAAATCTATTATAAACATTAAGTTTTAGAAAATCAACTCAATTATTTATGTAATGACTGCCTTTGCAATAACTACATGACTTATTTGTCGCTACAAAGGCCTGTGATTTAGAAGTGACTCTAGTTTCATTTTTGTTTATTACCTTCTAATGACTATCAATTCAGCTATATTTTTAAGAAAAACTTTAATTTTTTCTAAAGTTGAGAGTTTATCCCTAGCTTTAGTTTCTTCCCATTTATGATAATAGGATCCAATTTATTGGTTACCAGAAAAATAATCATGACATCCCACGTTTCAGTATTTTGATGTAAGGTATTTAAAGATTGTAAATGTTTAACCATAGCATCTGATAATTTCCGTAACTCCATTGCAGATTCCCGAGTTAATGTGGGTAATGGAAATAATAACTTTATATGATTTATTAATTAAGTAACTTGTGTTATTATAAGTGATAATGATTTCACAGTACTAGTAGGTCGCTCTCTGCCAGTAAGTAGAAAGCAATGTTTTGTGTCAGTAGGAACTGATTTTAGGTTTATAGTACAATGTGGTTTATCGATGAGCACAGTGGCGGCGCGTGAACATTGATTGAATGTGTTCTGCTTAGGGTTGTTACATTTGTTGAATTGAATTCTGGGACATTAAGTCCCCGGAGTCTCTAAATGGCGCGAAAAATTTTAAAATTTTCAAGGTCACGCGTTTTCCTGGCACTTCTGAATTTCAAGGAACAATGAATTTATAAAAAAAATATAGATTTTCACAAGAATGATTTTTGAAATTGATACCTTTTTGAAATATCTATTTACGAATTACCTACTGATGGTATAAATAAATTGGAATAAACTAAATATATTTTATTAAATTATTGAATATTGTTTATAAACAAAAAAATCGTTTGTGAAATTTACCAACGATTCAACGAATTTTAATTTTCCTCGGCGTGTTATGATTTTTTCTTTATCTTTTTTTATATATATGTACATTATATTATATTCCGGGAGTTATACGTGCAAATCCGAAATCCGGGACCATACAGCTAATTCCCGGTACAATCACAGAAAATCCCGGTCATACCAATGTGGCTAGATGTTCTTTTAAAATTTATGAGTCCACGAAACACATCAGGGTTGTCCGAATTTTCTGTCTTGTCGTGTCCGAGAAGTGCTAATTCGAAAGCTCCGCAAAATTTTATGCAATCTATGATTTTAAATAATACATGACGATTTTTCATTACCTGTTCATATGTTTCCGTATATTATCCCAATATGCAGAATCTGACTGACTTCTTATGTTTATTTTACCTAAAGACGTAATGACTTAAATCTTTCACACTGTATATTGTCCATGCTTTATCCCCACCGAAAAGTAAGCACGGAAAACAAAACAGTGAATATTTTAAATCACACCCGCACACCCACTCTGCTTTTGTGTATACATTATTGTTTTTTTATAACTTTTACTTCTTTTATTTTTAGTTTATCCTCATAAGGCAGAGAACCAAATACAGTTTTTTTTTAACGAAACGCTATTCATTTTAATAACTATAACATCCGTAGACGCCTAAATGAAAATATTCACACGTGCCGCTCGCATAAATAAACCACCACATACCACGTACGAAATATTACTGCATTTACTGCAGCGCAGTGGCTGTCGCTATTGCAGCCGCAAAAGCCCCTATCTTCCTGACTGGGTCACGTGCCTGATTAGCCAATAAAAACAAAGGACGCATGTAATTGTTCGCTGTCCACACATGTTGTATATGAGGTTGCATATATTAAGGAGCGCAGCTCGCGTCGCAATAAATAATAATATAAGCTCCTAGATTTATTTTAGCGCGAGTACATTTGGATTCTTTAAATATTTTGTTGATATTTAATATGATTAAATACATAAAATTTTATGTGTTCTGCAGCTCCGCAGCTCTTATGGTAAAACCGCCACTGGATGAGCATATAAAAATAATAAATGGTTTTAACTATTTAATTTATTATTATATATTTATTTAATAAAAATATTCATCAATATCTTTACGCACAAAGTCACAAATGAGATCAATTTGAATTGAGAAAGTACTAACCTTTCTAGTTTGTCCACACAGGCATCTTGGTAATCATGAATCCAACGAACTGCATTAAAGTGACAAACTTGTCTCATGTCTTCAGGTAATTCATCAGCTTCAGGAAATGTGAAATTGTCAATAATAGGAATAATATTACAATTTGCCGAGAGTGCGGCAACAATTTCCTAACAATAAAAAAAATATATTTTTAAAGTTTGATCTAAAATTAAAAAATTGCTTGCCTACCCTATGGACCCAGTCTTTTCTTTCATGATCCCCTATACACCTTTCTAAAGCATTAGGTGTCAAAACTAAAAGGAAATGTTTGGCTTTTTGTATACTTTGTAGAAGATTGTTATCGAATTTACCAGCCTCTAATCTCTCAACATCTATAAATACACTAAAACCTCTTAATTGTAAATGGACTTTTAATAAACTAGCTAACTGGGAACCATTTGATCTCCTGTAACTGACAAACACATCTAATGATTTGTCCATATTGTCTTCATTTAATCCATTGGCTAATCCATTTTCTAGCTGCCTAATACCTTCCATTATTCTGTATCGATGAATAGAATTCATTATACCACATTCATTTAATAGTTGATCTTCTGAAATATTGCGGAGGGAGTCCTTTGTTTCTACACCTGCATTTAAGAGACTATATGTGTATATTGAAAACTCAGGTCCTAATGTTTGAAGAAAGTTATTTATATTCGCCGTATCTCGGGAAGTATAATCAGCCATTTTCTTTAATTTCTGTAATTCTCTTGTAAATCTGTAAATACACATTTTACAATAAACACTTATAAGTTATAATTAAGGATAAAAAATATTTTTAATGCTTTTTTCGCGTAGGTATATTATTTAATACATATAAAGCTACATTTTGTGGAAGAAATCAGATTATAGTTTAAGAAAAATAATTTATAACAGTTACTTTACATTGAAGAGAACACAAAAAGACATTTATTTTACATTATGCAAAAATATAAAAATGTATATACCTTTTCCTTTTTATACCATTGGTCAGTCCAATATCATCCCTGAGATTTTCTTCAGTTAACTGTAACAATAAATCTCCATCAACTCTACTTTCAACAAAACTAGAGGCAATTTCTGCAAATCCAATTTGCTTTACCCATTCTTCAACGTCTTCGGCTGACCAAAGAGGTACTTGCTGACTAAGTTTGTGAGGCACTTCTTCACCAATTAATCTTAAAGCTTGAGCAGCATACTTTGAAGCAACAGCATTTGGACAACTTGCAACTTTTTTCAAGGATTCAACAGCACCAATTTCTGAAAATATGTTAGTATTTCCTTGTTGTTTTTTTATTCCAGCTTCCATACAGAAGTGAAAAGCAGCCAAATTTCTAGCTTCTTCTCTTTTTGAGCTTAATACAGGTACTAAATTTTTTAGCCAGGTTTTGCTTTGGCCATGAGCATGTGCAAGGTTTGATTTGGCAAATTCTGAAGGATTATGGGTGGTCACAAATGGCTCTACTAATCCCAAAGTCCCGGATTGTAATACTTCTGCTTCTATTTCAGCATTAGCAACCAAAACAGTTATGGCAAGACAGGCATAATATTTAATGTTGTCATCGTTATGGAATGCTAATGGAAACAACCACATAGGAACTTTTCTTTTGATCATTGCTTCTTGATTTTCAGCACCACCATACAAACTGAGGTTTGCAAGAGCTCCGGCACAGTGGCGTAATGTTTCGACATCACTTTTTCTACATTCAAATAATAGAGCATCTAAACCACCTAGACGAACTACATCACTGCATGTTTCTTCGCTATGTTTAAATAAATGTTCCAAAATACCAGTCCCTACTCTAGAGTGATCAACAGAGTTCGATTTTTTTGTACAAACGCATGCAACATGTACTACTTTATCTAATCCATGCTCTACAACATGAGCTCTATTTTCTGTTGTAAGACATTGTTCTAAGAGTTTAGCACTTGAAAACTGTAGATCTTTATCTGGTTTTGTACAGTTCTGCATAATTAAATCTAGACCTCCACAATTCCTTAATGTATTACACAAAGTAGTACCCAGTTCATGTCCATAAGTTGGTACAGCCCACGCTTTACTCATTACATCATTAATTTTATTTAGAATAGATTGTGCATTCTTGTTATTCTCCATTTTTTGAAGACATCTTATAGATACATCAAGATATGTCGAGTATTTGTGTATGGCTCTCTCCACTTCTTGTGCATTAGAACCGGCAGATAGATTTTCTAGATCATCTAAGGAGGTGTTAAGGATATCCTCTTCTGGTGTCCCATTCATTAGCTGAAACTAGAAAAAGAACTATTTATTTGGGAGCTTATACAGTAGTTTAATAATATAAAATAGATACCTATATTATGAAAGTATTTTTAGATAACTAATCAAACAAAGAGTATTTTTAAAGGGTTTATGAAATAAATGATATGTTAATGACAGTTTAATGTTTCCTTTACAAAAATTTTCAATTACATAAAAATTAAGAAATACAAAAATTTTCTCAATTAGTTTTGACTATAAATCTACATTTGGTCTTACCTGCCTGCTGGCAGCTTGTAGCATAGAAGTGGCTGATGCGCTTAACCCTCTGGTTGATGTAGTATAAATATGACTAGAAGCAGAACTGTGTTCTTCTTGGTTGAATATACCACTAGCCGTAACAGTTTGCCTTTGTTGTTGTGATTCCATTGCGGTTTTTTCACTACTAAATTTGTCAGTGGTAACTTTCATGTTTGTGTGTGCTAAATTTTTAGACTCTTGTTGGCTCATTTCTCCAGCTTTAAGAGATCTTGCTTCCTTTAAAAGTAAAATACAAATTACATTTTATATCATATCTACGTACATTTAAATGTGTTACAGTTACACATCAGGTTTGACAAACATTAACATGTATTACACTTCGCATAATATTTGTATAACATCTGTGATAAGATAACAATTTTCTACTCCTATATAAAGGTTAAATTTAGATTTATCGCTAAGTTCACACTACAATTATTTGTAAGAAAAAAGTTGACACGATTTAACCACAATGTTAGTTTTTATAAAGAAATTCATAATTTCAATGCCTAATAATGATAATGATAATGAATATTATTAATAGTGTATTAACTTTCTCATGAAAAAAAAAACAACCATAATGATGGGCGACTTTAATTTATAACTTTAATATAAGACAATTTTCATACAATTAAGAAAATGGTTTACCTAGGTGTCTACATAGTTATATTGTTGTTTTTAAAATTTGGAAAAAAATAATTTGGTCAAATACCCGTGAAAATTTCATATCTATGTCACTTTACATAATAATAGTTCTACAAAAATAACGATACTGTAATAGATATATTTAAAACGTACATGAGTAATAGGCATGTAACTACTAAAAGGGATTGATAGTTCTCTTTACGAAAACACAGTAATCTAGATCTAGGTTTGGGTATATGAATGACTGAATTGTGAATTCCAAGTAGATAAATAAAATCTGTAATTATTTAACAGGTACCAATCTTCAACATGAAGCTCTGCAATTATAATTTTTTATATATAGTGACATCCTATTCAATAGGTAGTGATTACGTAATGTTAAAAACGATATTTACATTAGCTCTCAGCTTCAGTTTTAATTTTGGCGGGACAGTAACTTTGGCCATTATTATCGGTAGAGGATCTGTACTTTGGCCTATACTCTTAAAAGCTCCTTCTCTTACTGGCCAAGGCGCCGACATGATATTAACGGGCACAATGGAAAACCAAACACTTGCACAAGCACGTGATGAAAATATAAAAAATGGCAACACAATTAACCAGGCATAATTAAATATAATTAGAAAACTTTAAAATGAGCACAACATGTTCGCTCGACACAGTTTTTCACTACATTGGAACGATAAGCTGATCGTATAAAAATACAACTCATTGTTTTGGATAAATGCCATACAATTTTATGTTTCTACATATTGTACTTTGCGTCATTTTAACTTTAATATAATAGTTTTGTGCATTAAATTAATTTAAATAGATTGTTAAAGAATTTCCAAACCAAGACAAATTGTTGTGAAAATATGTGGATTCAAAATTATAATTATCAGCAAATATTTACTAAATTAAATTCAAGCAGAAAATGAATTGCGAAAGCTTGGGAACTTCATAATATACAAAAATATAGGATAGGTACTCTAAGACACGTTTTATGCATTTTGAAGTTTTGAAATACATATAATAAAAGTATGGATAATAACGTTCCCCTTTCAATGTTCTCCATATGTTCCAATGAGGAATATTAATGGCAGAACTAATTCTTCTTGTGCTAGTTTTTGGATTTTGTTGAATTAAATTTAAAATATTGTTCTGTTCTTAAGCATCTTGATGTAAATTACGCTCCACATTTTTTGAAGTTGGAAACCTCTCGTGTTGTTTGGAGTACTGGAAGAATTTACTAAAAGTTTTATAATTAGGATGCCGACGATCAGGAAAACGTTGCTGATATTCCCTTTGTGCTGCCCTACTATTCCCATTGTAAAACCCATAGATGAATACTATGTCAGCATATTCTTCGTTTGAAAATAATTGCGGCATGTTTAAATTACATAATTTAAAGTATTAAATGCAAGTTAATGAATACCCAATAACACCAGTAAACAGTTTGTTGTCAAACAATTCACTATTTAATTATCTGTCACTTTGAGTAGGCCTACTATAATTAATTTACATCAAGATGTTCAAAAAGAGAATAATATTTTAGATCCAATTCAACAAAATGCAAGGTCTAACATAAGTTCGACTATTAATATTTCTCAATGGAATGTATGGAAAACATTGAAAAGGAAATAATATTATTCATACCACATTCATTCATTTCTTTTTCGCGTTGATTACGGGTAAATAAATAACTCAAGAAACGACTATAAATGGACACAGCAATACCCATCTGCAAACGCTTATATAATTCACAGTACAAATTTACTCTAAATGTTTGGGTAGATCTACATGAATGGCAATCGAAATCTACGGATTATAATTTATTTTTTGTCATGTGTTTTTATCATGCGTATTTAAATAATCAGCAAAGTGTAACAAGAAAAAGAGACATGTCGCTGAGATTACTTTTTTATGTTCTTTTCGATAATCGTATGGGAATACCAAAAAATACATACAAGGCGATGTTTTCTAG